TTCCCGAGTAATAAAATAAACAAACTTGCATTGGTCTGAAGTTAAGATGGGAGAGAGCCAACATTACTCTAGTCTATTATTTACGCCGTTCCCAGTCTATTACTAAAGCAACGCTTTTTGTTATTTCAGGGAGGGATATGCCAGCATACCACAAGGACACCTGACATACCTGGCTCCAGAGCTCATGCGCACACTTTCAAGGAAAGGCTGTGTTTTATCCACAGAGGAAAAGAACTCTGACTGGTCAAACGTGTATGCGTATAGGTACGTTTCCTAAAATTTGAAACAGAAAATAAGGGCCTTAGCTTGAGTTATTTGCTCGGGGGAAAATTTTTTGGCACTTCAAAAGCTATAGTCATCTTAAGGGTTACGATATATGATATACGATATCGCTTATGATAGCGACCCAAACATACTTACGAACACTCAAAAGGGTTGCAATTTGAGCTAAATTGTTTGTTAAAAAATGCCATGTTTTATAGCACGATCCTGTACGAGATTTTAACTGGCAGATGGCCCTTAAACTTCCCAACACATTCCATCATATGGATGATCGGCAAAGGAAAACAAGAAAGCGTTGCACATCTACAGTGCCCGGAATCCTTCAAGGTCAGTTGAACGACTAAAAAGCCATGATCATCAGTTTCCGCTTTACCTCTGTTTTTGTGTGATTTAAACATAGAAGTGTTTTTCACCACTCACCTTAATTTTCATTCTTTCCAGAAACTTATAAAAGACTGTTGGAGTAACAACCCTAAAAGCCGACCGGAATTCAGCCGGATCGCTGAGTTTCTTCAGCAACAGAACGTGCGTGTTATCGGTTACATCGCAGTAACTGACTCTAATAACTTCTTTGGCATCTGACACTTGGGATAAATACATTTCACTGGGATTCTGATTATGTTATCTCTTCCTTGATACGATCGTCGGGCTTTGTATCTCAGTTTGATCGACCTTTTTTTCAGAAACCGCTTCTTAAAGCTAATTTTTCTTTATTGCTATGTGGCTCTATACCATACAAGATACTGATGATAATTGATAAAATTCACGAAAGTAGAAAGCAATCCGTGCATTTTTAAAGATATTTATGGTTACTTTTGAGTAGTCAACGATTAACTGATATCCATTTACATTCAACGATTAGCCTGGTCAGGACTGAAAATCAGAGATAAAATTAAACTGACACTCCGAACCCATGCACCACAATTCATGCAACAACACCACATAACACCATGATTGATTCTTCGAGCTAATCTTTTTTTCTTTTTTTTTTTTTTTCACAGGTCCCTCCAGAGCTTGCTCGTAGAAGAATCAGCTTCTCGGAGCCGGAAAAAATGAACTTTGTTGGCCGTAAGATGAATACGTTATCTATAAAGTAATTCCTGCTGCCAAACATGTCGGCATCATTCGGCCAAATAGCCGCAGTGATTATGCTTTAAAATGATCACTTCGAGCAAGTTTCCCACAGCATACTTCCATACGTATTTGAAAAGGTGAAATGCTGTTGGAAGCGTTCGACAATAACTTAGGCCAATAGTTATTGTTCTTGCGAGATGAAGAGCTTTCGGCATATTTGTAAAATACTGAGTGGTGTTTCAACTCAGGGGGTTACCGTGCATGGGACATCCTCGCTGCTTCATCGATAATAGAACACTCCACGAATATTTTGGCCAGTAAAAATTATTTGTAGACGATAATCATGGGTGCTCCCAAAGTTTTCAGATTACCTTCGTTTGAAATTCAGTTTTTTTATCTTCATACCTTTTCATGTTCAAACTTTCTGGGGCTGAACAATCAGAGAAAACTAAGAGTCTTGTAAATTCAAAGCTATTAGGCCAAAGCAGGTGCCTCTATGTTTAAGCGACAAGTTTACATTTGATAAAGAAAAAGCAAAAAGAAATAATAGTGCGTACCGTATATGCCTTTGCTCCAAGCATGAAGACAGCTGTCGCTACAAAAACAATGATTTGTGATTTATATGTGATATTTTTTAACTTATATCGGGGTATTTTAGTAAGAAAAACAACTAATAAGCATCAAAAGGTCTATAAAAAGGGCTGATCATTAGAATCGATTGAACTACTGAAATCAAAAGATTTGTTTTGACACATCAGTACGTAGAGAATACTTTCATCTTTTATACTTTATTTGATATTGACCGGCATTGTTGCCTTTGCATTACTATTGTAGTTTTGTATATTTTATGAAAGTTTAATTCTTTTTATCTTTATGTCCACGAGGCGAACTTCGCCCTGTGTAACGCACACATTTTTTCGTATTGACGGCCCCTCTGTAGCTCTAGGGAAGGAATAAAATGGTAGAACCTTGAAAGTATCAGCAGAAAAAAAACTTGGATTATCCAATGAAATGTTTTGAATACATATTCAGTGCTTTACTTGCGAGGTTCAACATTGTGATACTGTTCCACCAGCATCATTGGTGGCCATAGCATTTAAACTAATGCAGTTTAATTCAAGTTTATCGCGATAAGTTACTGACCGGTTCGTATCAAAGCTGCATGAGGCGCTCAAGTCTTAGTTTGTGGCAAACCCTACTGTTTCTGTTAACAAAGTGAGTTAAAACTTTGAGGCACAAGAGAAACGGGTGACCCAGGTAAGGGGAGGTTGAACAGAAATTTTGCGATATGTTCCCTATATGTCCTAAACCAAAGATTCACACGGCAGTGTTTAGTGGGACTCGTGTCTAAGGGAATCATTTTTACTCAAATGCAAAAATATTTTTATCGGTTGTAACTTCGTCCAACATTTGAGAACATGTTTTTTTTATACAGGTACTATGATTACTTTTTAAATTTTGTGGGGGGATCGTGTAGTGACTTCATCCAACAATTGAGAGCATGTTTTTTTATGGTACATTTTTTTCTTTAGGATGCAAATTTAGCACTTTTTAAATTTTGTAGGGTATCGTTTATAGCGACGCAAGGTTCTGTCTCACTTCCCCATGGGGTTTCTCCGTGTATTGATATTTTTCGGGCGGCTTCCCACCTCCCCTTAGAGGTAGGTCAAGTTCACTGAGTTTCTAAAAGACGTTGAATAAAGGGATTAATTTTTGTTTGTTGTACTGATCTCAAGTGCTGGCCACTTGATAAAACTTCTCCGACTTGCAGGCAATGAAAGAGAACTTGATCAACCAACAAACAAACAACATGTGAAGAAACAAGATATGATTAAGTTATAGGATGAGCGACAATTGATAGTTGAAAATGTTATCGCTATGATCCTCTTCTCTTGATTAGCTATTCTTCTTGTGCTGGAATCGCATAGGGTGGGGTAGGGTTTGGGGTACACTGCTGATATAAAAGTGACGGGGATGTGAAGAAATATCGATGCAACATTCTCAGGCCTTGTTGTAACGTCTTACTCGTAATGAACCGGTTTGGACTGAACGAAATAGCGATGGTACAGAGTTGAATGGCTGCGTTTGAAGTGATCATTTTTGAAGTAAGGAATTCGTGTTTTTGAAAACAATCTTCATTTGTTTCTCCGTCACTTTGACTTCTCAGTTTTGTTAAAGAAATAGTTGAATAGCAGGACGTGATGTTTACTATGTAAACTTTGATTGAAAATCAATCTCAAGTAAGCTGTTACATCGCCGAAAACATATTTTGTTGTCGTTTTCGGCTGGTTTACGAATTTCAGTTTTATTTCTTTGACACTTTTTGCATATATCAGATCAGCTTCTTTTCTCGTGAATGCATGACGATTGTGGACATGTGTAACTGATTTATTGAGTAACTGGTTAATTGAAAGCCTGAAATTATTGTATAAAGAAATCTTAAATAAAAAGTTTGAAAGGAGGACTGTCTTGTCTTAACTTTACTTCACACATGCATAGATCTACCTTAGAGAGACACATTATGGTTCATACGTCTTTAAGATTTTACTATCAGTTAAACTGTGCTCTTGGGACTCTTTCGGATTGATAAATCTCAAACAAGTGATGTCAGTATTCTGCACTTAACATTGAAAGTTTAGAAACTATCTTTCAAATGGATTTACAGCTCCTCCTCCGGCGCCCCTTCTCTTCTAACGGTAATTGGGATTTTGTCACAGAATCCTCTTGAAAGCAAAAATAATGAGACACGTGAATTACTTTGTTTCGTTTGATTTAGAAGAACACGATCTATTTACAATGTATTCACTGTGTTAAGAAAAAAGACTAAGTTTATAGCTCCAGTTGTGCTTCGAAGACCTGAACAAGTGAGTAAAGAAGGAATTCCTTACGTAACCTTCTATGGTTCGTTTTCGAAGTCGACCTTAAGTTCAGTGCAAAACCTCCCGTTGAGCGTGATTTGCCTAACTCCTCCTTTAAAACCCTGTAATAAAAATAAGGTAAATGCTTTTTTTTCGATGAAGATTCATCTGGATTCCTTCGTTCTGGACTTGACCGGTACAAATTTCTAATCTACCTGAAGATTCGCAAGGATGGAAAATCATGAAAGTGGACCGCCCCGATCAATGAAACAGTACGAAAGAAAAACAGATTTACTAAAACGAAGAGCATAAAATACCAAGGAGTACAACAGAAAGAAAAAACTGAAAACTTCATTATCTCTAATGGCAATATCTCCTAAAAGTCTAATCATAAATTGATAGTATTAGGTCGAAGTCTTCTGTAGGCCATCATGGATAGAATGTATATGCAATTTCACCATGTCAAGTCAACGAACTATCTTGATAAGTAACCGATATTACGCAGCTATGCTGATGTTCGGTGAGCTGACCCCTAGTAGCGCTGTTACAGCATTCGTGAACTAAGGGCCGGTACGAAGGCCTTTATTAGTTTCCGACATTTACCTGTATCTCTCTATCGGATACACGAGAGATTCAGATGATTTCAGACTTTAAGTCATTCTTTAGAACAACGAAAAGTGCAATGGCATCGCTCTTTAATGAGCCGCTAAAAGAGAGCAAAGAGCTGGTTGCGAGTTGATATTTCACCCCTCCGTACATGAAGCAGCCATAGAGCTAAACTGGTAGAAGTACATCAGTAGGAGATAGCGTGGAAGAGAAAATGAGGAATGTGTTGTTTAGTTCTTCGGATTTCGAACTCTTTGACCCAGATATCACACCTCAAGACTATGAATTCTACCAGAAGCACAAGGACGCATTGAAGAGTTTACTGGAAGACCAGGTATTGAAATGATCCGTGAAAATAATGATATCATTACCATCGAAACTACCTCGAATCGAAATCGGTGTTCGATCATATGAATTCGTGTTTTTCCATTTCTACCAAGTTTAATCGTTCTCTGGTACTTTTAGGACAGTGGGTTCATTTTCAATCTAATTTACCGATATTTGAAATCGTGCTGGCTAACAATAACTGTGTTACTCTTCTCTTCATTCTCCAAACCTCTTCCCCACATGAAAAACAGTGTAAGTCCAAAACTAGTATACAAGCTTACCTCAAGAACAAAACAGCTGAACTATCAGCTTTCGTGTACATGACGTAACACGATCAGTGTAAGAGACAATTTTTTACATAATTTGTCAACTAATATTTTGATGAAAATCAGCTCGAGTCAGAATTGCCCCCGAGAGTTTTGTCAAATGTTTCTATCCTAGTTGCTTATCTGATTGAATCTATATTTTGGAAACAAAACAAAAAAAATAACAGGGATCTCAATAATCTTTTAGGAGCAGCAATGTCTGCAAACAGTTGCTTATAATTTCATACTGATTTGTGGCACAGAAAAAAAAAAAGGTTTAAGATTTGTTGGTGCTAATCATGTTAGCCACCAACACTGAGGTGAATTGTGGTTTTTGTCTGTGTGATGGATGTATTAGCCATCAAAATTGTAATTCTCTTGTGGTACACCATGTGAAAATTTGAATCATTTCTAAATACAATTCAGGAAAGATTTCCATTTGCTAGGTGACATGATCAGCTGTTTTACACTGCAGCAACAAACTCTGGGTCTCTGCTCTTGTAATGGCAGATTATACTTTGACAAGATCTTGCCGGTTTTAAATGTCTCTAACATTTTTAATCATTTTAGACACAAGAACGAAAGCAGAAGTTTGTTGAGGCTTTCAGGGATTTTTCATTAAATCATAATTTGTCAACTAATATTTTGATGAAAATCAGCTCGAGTCAGAATTGCCCCCGAGAGTTTTGTCAAATGTTTCTATCCTAGTTGCTTATCTGATTGAATCTATATTTTGGAAACAAAACAAAAAAATAACAGGGATCTCAATAATCTTTTAGGAGCAGCAATGTCTGCAAACAGTTGCTTATAATTTCATACTGATTTGTGGCACAGAAAAAAAAAAAGGTTTAAGATTTGTTGGTGCTAATCATGTTAGCCACCAACACTGAGGTGAATTGTGGTTTTTGTCTGTGTGATGGATGTATTAGCCATCAAAATTGTAATTCTCTTGTGGTACACCATGTGAAAATTTGAATCATTTCTAAATACAATTCAGGAAAGATTTCCATTTGCTAGGTGACATGATCAGCTGTTTTACACTGCAGCAACAAACTCTGGGTCTCTGCTCTTGTAATGGCAGATTATACTTTGACAAGATCTTGCCGGTTTTAAATGTCTCTAACATTTTTAATCATTTTAGACACAAGAACGAAAGCAGAAGTTTGTTGAGGCTTTCAGGGATTTTTCATTAAATCATAATTTGTCAACTAATATTTTGATGAAAATCAGCTCGAGTCAGAATTGCCCCTGAGAGTTTTGTCAAATGTTTCTATCCTAGTTGCTTATCTGATTGAATCTATATTTTGGAAACAAAACAAAAAAATAACAGGGATCTCAATAATCTTTTAGGAGCAGCAATGTCTGCAAACAGTTGCTTATAATTTCATACTGATTTGTGGCACAGAAAAAAAAAAAGGTTTAAGATTTGTTGGTGCTAATCATGTTAGCCACCAACACTGAGGTGAATTGTGGTTTTTGTCTGTGTGATGGATGTATTAGCCATCAAAATTGTAATTCTCTTGTGGTACACCATGTGAAAATTTGAATCATTTCTAAATACAATTCAGGAAAGATTTCCATTTGCTAGGTGACATGATCAGCTGTTTTACACTGCAGCAACAAACTCTGGGTCTCTGCTCTTGTAATGGCAGATTATACTTTGACAAGATCTTGCCGGTTTTAAATGTCTCTAACATTTTTAATCATTTTAGACACAAGAACGAAAGCAGAAGTTTGTTGAGGCTTTCAGGGATTTTTCATTAAATCATGGCTGTATGAAAGACTTTCCACTTAAGGTATGTATATAACCCTTGATAAAAATTTCAATCTTAGTATTGTTTAAAGAAACAAATCTTAGTGAACATTGTTGATTTCACTTTTATGATCAATTAGGGTATAGAAAATAGAAAATTGTGGTTGATTTGTCAACCTGATATCAGTAGCATAAAATTGTTTAAGATCTACTCCTTTCTTTAGGAATTGGTATATATGGGAGGAACATATGTTTATATATATAGATATATTGAGATAGGGGAAAAGTGAAGAGACTGTAATTTTTTCCTTACAAGCCTGTTTTGTGATTACTAACTCATGAGGGGATTTTGAAGTCCCATGGTGAGTTAGTAATCATGAAACAGGCTTGTTTTAAAATCAGGGATTCCAAAATTCAGGGATTTCAAAATCTCCTTATTAGTGAGAAATCACAAAACAGGATTGTAGGGATGAAAGTATTGTCTCTTTATTTTTCCCTATATCAACATATATTGTGCTCTACTTCTATGAATCAAGCACTTCACACTGGAAAAATTGAAACACAGACTTCCCATATATATATATATATATATATATATATATATATATATATATATATATATATATATGACTAATTGAAACTTCTGAGCTTTTGAATTAAATATCCTCCATTGATGATGCAATATTGAGGCAAAGAACCAAATTATTTATAATGAAATTCTCAACAGGAAAGTATATTTTTTCATCTTAGAAAGCTAATTTTTGATTTTTAATTGTTTTTGCTCTCTCTTGACAGAATGAACATAGCTTTATAGTTGATGTCATAGAAAATATTTCCAAAAGTTTTGTTGAAGGTGATATTCAGTTTTGCTATTTAAAGCAGTAGGTTAAGAAGCTAAAGTAGGCACCCTAAGACAACAAACATTTTTAAGACCACAGTTTTAATAACATCTTAAGTAACTGGATTGTGATACAAAATGGGTGGTATTAAGCAATTCTATTTCTCCGAATTTCATGCTTCAGTACTGAAAATTGTGACATAAACATTTGGAAAAGATGGCATGTTTTTTGGTGGGTGGTGATATGTAGTGGCTGCTGGCATATTTTGACAACTCTGTAGGACTGTATTTGTTTTTTGTTTTTTTGCTTAATTTGAGTGTCAATGAAATAATTAACTGGAAGCTGTATCATGGTTTTAATAGGCGCTGACTCAAAAAACAGACTAACATTAAGAATGCAAATTAAAATGAAGAGCACAAAAGAACACAGGAAAACTAGAAATAATGTTCTTATGGTTCATTTTCCTTTGCTGTTTTTGAGCCCCATTGGCAGTATATACAATTTGTTAAGTCCTTTCTGCTCATAAACTTTCTCTGAGGTTTAAAAGTGCACTTTTCTGTGTTGTCACAGGTAAGGCAAGCAAAGGTAAATATTTGGTCACAGATGCTGTTTGTCTGCTTCAAAACAGGGGCATGATTCAGAACCTGGGTGGTAGTTCCTCATGTGGTAGGTAGACACCTTTAATTATTTAAACCTGAAATTGTTTTTGTTGCACCTGTGAACCCATAACAGTTCTGCCCTTGATATTAGTATGATCTTGCAGTGTTGATTTCCTTTACTGATTTGTTTGTATTTTGGGGAACATCAATCTTCAGCACATGATTTCATTTTGGTTAACTTTGTAACTCTTATTTACTCTTCATTCTATGCTTTACCATGAATTATGATATATGAACCAGTTTGGGCTTTTAGTCATCATCTTCTCACTTGCTCTTTAACTGTTGTATTAATACATTTGTCTCAACAGTGTGTTGGGAACTCCATTATTTGCTTCTTATCACAAGCTCTGAACCCTTTCACTCCCAAGATCTCAATAGTAATTCTCCTTACTCTCTTTCATACAATTCTTATGATGTCAGTTCTGTGAATTTGGCATTGGGTCAAATAACAATAGTTGATATTTTTCTTTATTCTCATCACTTGTCTGCTTGATGTTGTTTTTGAAATTGTAAGGAGAAATTCTGTCTTAGTCATCCATGTGAGTTGAAGGGTTAAAGTTGCTGGGTACTTTATTGATACCTTACCAGAGATGTGTAGTATTGCATGTTCTAGTAACTCTGCAGTCTAAAACATATGTTAAACATTTGATTTTTATATCCTCAGCCAAAGATCCCTTTGTTCACAAAGATACAAGGTATGTTGTGTAAAGTGACAGTAGCCTGGGATTGTGTTTGCTATGTTTTTTTGATGAATCTATCACAGCTCTTAGAAATTTACATCATTTATCTTTGATGTAACGAAATTGTTGAATAACTGTGAGGTTGATTCTTTCTTTGTTTTTAGAGATGTGTTTCGAAGGCTCTTTGGAGAACCAGACCAAGAGTCCCGATTAAAGGTTATTATCCTTAGTTTCACCATACATTTATACAGACGGAACATATATATATATATATATGAAACAATTTTGCATTATTTTTCTTCCTTGCTTTTAAAAATTCTATTGAAGTTAATCAACAGTTAATCATCAAGAATGTGGACTTGATGTTTATAGGCTGTGGTGGTATTTCCTCTGTACGTGAAGTTCGGTGGATCAGTTTGTCGCTATTTAAGGCGTTGGCTAGAAGCAGGGAAACTCGATGAGCTTGGTGTCACGTCCTTGTCACAGGTGCCTGTCAGCAACTCTGAATCAACCCAAAGTGTAAGCACTAAAGAGGACAATACCACAAAAGCTTCGTCCACTGAAGTCGTCAAACCAAGCGGAGGTCCGATGGTGGCAGTGGCTACTATCGGTCGGAATGGAGGAGCATCAGACAGCTCTGAGGAGGAGGAGGAGGAGGAAGAGGAAGATAGCTGGGAGGCCAAAGTCATAAGAGGTATAACGTCAGTGCTAACGGACAGGGGGGGAGCCTCTGCTATTGATTTCATGGAAGTGTATAAACGGGACAAAGACGGCTCCTACAGGAGGCTGAGAGAACAGTTTCACCTTGGAAAGCCTCACCCGAACGTCGAATTTGAAGAGAGGTGTAGGAAGAAAGAGGAAGAAGTGATTGAAGGTAGTCGGCTACGTGAGGTGATTATGAAGGACTATGCTGAGAGCTGTACTAAGAAGAAACACGCCTGTGCTAACTGTAGGCAAGTTGAGAGATACGCGGGAACGTTTAAGAAGTGTCAGAGGTAAGGGTACCTTTTGTATCTGAACAATGGCTTCATAATGGTGGAATGCTTCCAAAGCGTTCATATTTAGGCACGAAGCAGGTGAACTCAGTCTCACCTTGAGCGCAAGTTCTGTGTGATGATTTGTTTTGTTTTGTTTTTTGTTCTTTTTTCAGTTTTGCGGACTGAGGTGGTAATCCACGATTCTCAATTTCCGGCAGAAAAAAAATCTCGTAAACTTTGCTACCGTTAGTAAAAAAAAAAAGTTGATTTATGACATCTGCTTCCAAATGAGCTGTGAATTTGTATTGTTCGTTGTCAACTCCAAATAACTTGACATGTAAGGAATTGGAAAAGATGACGTTCCCTTCCCAACTTTTTTTTGCTTAGATAGAAAAGCGAACGAAGATATATTCTTGGAAGAAATGTTACCCATCTGAAACTGCAAGAGTTTGTTCCCGCAACGCCGAAAACAAATTGTTAATTAGCGAGAAAAAACTCTTTCTGGATTCTCATTTTACATGATGTTTGTTTTTCTCTGGGAAACCTACTAGTCTCGATCGTTTATTCTTTTACATATTCTGATAGGTGCAGTGGAAAGGGTACAAGATTTTACTGCAGTCGTAAATGCCAAGGTGAGACAAAGTGGCGTGAATTTTGACAACTGTTGATGAGTTTCAATATTTTACTCGAGGGAACTCAAACAAGTGGCTTGAAATGGGGCCTAACACTTGATCAACAGGTCACCCAGCGGGAAAACTTAAAGTACACAGGAGAGTGGAGGTTTAGGATTGAAACAATAAACTTTGTCTTTAGATGAGTATTGACTGCTCTATTCTATTACTAGGTGAAGACTGGGTTTCAAGGCATCGACAGGACCACTCTACAATGGATTTACCATCATAGAATTGTTAATTTGCTGGCCTATTTCTCTCCACTATGGTAATCAAATACGATTCTCATAGTTTACTGAAACGATCACTGAAGAAGTTCTCAATAGTTACCTTTGTAAAGTTTTGGTAAGTGAGAAGTAAAACTTAGATACTGTGTGGCCATCCAGCGAAGAGATAACCAACGTGTGAACGTCAAAAAAAGAAATTATTCCAAATAATTTTTTATGTGCTAGACTGCCCTCAGGTTCATTGTACTGATTTTTGTTGACTGTTATGAATACAAGTGCATGGAGTCTCCTTTGCAGCCGTTCTTTTGTCTCGTTACGCAACACCTCTTTACCCCCAGAGAGAGATAGGGCGTTGCGTGACGAGACCAAACAACGGCTGCGAAAATATGACATAAGGTGATCCTATCGAACATAAAATGTGGATAACAATTTACCACACTGCCGTCTTGAACTGTATGTATAAGGTCAATTCTATATCTATGTGGTAATAAGATAATTCCCATAATAAAGGTGCAACTTGTGAGGTTGATGTTTAGTTCCTGTGAATGATGTTTTGAAGTACGCATGGTGACAAAATCTCCTAAGTACTGCACAATAAGACAAACAAGATTTCAAACCTTTATTCTCGTACTTACCACCGGTATCCGGTTAGATCGCACCACTCGGAAGTTAGATCGCTCCACTCGGAAGTTAGATCGCTCCATCAAATAAGTTACTTCGCTACCAACATAAGTTCGCTTCATGCTGTAAAGTAAAGTATTACATACCAATGATCTTTTAAGTTTAAAGGTGATGATGTGTCTCGCGACGATTCGTGTACATCGTATTCACTCTGTCCTTCAGATTATTTACCGATGTATGATGTATAGCGATGATGGAATAAATGATCGTGGAATAAATGATAACGTTATCGTCTGATTATTAGAATTCAAATACCAATACTATCCAGTGTGGCCTTTTTTGCTCTTTGATGTGAGGAAACTGATATCCGCCATCTTAAATAAATAAAGTATATTACACTTCGTGAGTCCCTTTCATAAGGCTTTTTTTGTTCTTTCTGCGTAGCTCGGATCTATTTCAAGTGCGCGCGAGCGATAATCTATTGTTCGGTAAGATATGCACATCATTTAATGAACTATCAATTTAGACACGTTAGCTTTGCTACCTTTACCTTAGTTTTCTACACGGAGCGAAGTAACTTATGTAGGGAGCGAGGCGAGTAATTTGTTTTAGTATAATTGCTCAAGTGCTATCGAGTTGTGTTGTAGATTCATTCTGATGTTGACACCATTCCGTAAATAAAGAAAACTTTTGCGTATTTTCTGTTACAATTGTTTTCATTATTTGCATCAAGATAAGTAGCCTGTTTCCTTTAGAATTTTACAGCGAAAATTTTATATCCTACTTTTGAAAAGGGTTGCACCAAACTTAATAGCATCTTTTGTGCTTTTCAGAATTGAATTTCTTCTACTGCGTTTACCTTTTTCTCGGTAACGTTGACAAAACGCGAGGCAGCCATTTTGAAATTTAGCGCTCAAGCTATGATCTCCAAACACGAGGTGATTATAGCGAGATATGGGGCAATCCTTTACCAATCAGAGCGTGCGCATCCTAATAATCACCAGAGCAATTTACACTAAGGGTCGTTATAGCTAACCTGTACATGGAAAAGTTTGAGGAACAGTCGATGATTACATCACCTCAAAAACCTAAGATCTGGAAGCGATATATAGATGACACCTCTACCATTTTAGATCTAAATAATGTTTAGAGCTTATTACAACATTTAAATAAACGAAAGCCTTCTATCCACTTCCTGTGGAAGTCGAGAAAACTAACACCATTCTGGACATGTCAGTTTGTCGGGCCGCCGAAGGTTAGCTCAGCACCGGCATGTTCAGAAAACCTAGTCATACTGACTAACACTTAGCTTATGAATATTACCATCCTCAGTCAGTAACATGGGTTATTGTGAGGTTTGTCTATACGACCGGGCCAAACACCTTATAACACCTTATATCACCAGTTCTTGTTGTTAACAGAAATCCACCCTCATTTGTGCGAAAGATTGCAGAGACAAAAGGATCAACAGTCAATGAGAAGCCCACACATGATTTCAAGTCTACTGCGGTTCTATCCTACATTAAAGGTGCCTCAGAGATTCTTTACCGCTGTCTTCGATAGATAGACGTAGATAGACGTTTATTAAGAATACCTTAATAGCAGCTGGAAGCTGAATTACAAAGGTGTACAAATTATATAATAGAACTATACAATAAAATCAAACCTAAAAGGGAACTAATTTACATATGGGCCCATATACAATTGTAATAGATGTCAATTAAAATGTCTTGCGCTTGCTGGAATGAAAGTATCTCTGAACCGATTTGTTTTAAAGGAAACTCTAAATGGTCTGCGTCGTCGTAACTCCATAAGTTGATCTCGGTTGTCGAAAGGCAGTAAGTGGTACAAACAATCCAAGGGATTGGAGACGATGTTGTTAAAGAATTTTAAGCAAAGGTCTTCCCTCCGATCCCTTAGGGTTTTCAGCTCTGCCATCTGAAGCACTTCTCTATAATGATTATCATAACCGTATATAATTTTCAAGGCTCTCTTTTGGACACGCTCTAAACTTAAGCTCAAATAATCGGGGAGACTATAATGGTAGACCTGACATCCATAAAGTAAGACGGATTGAATGCAAGCAACATAAAAATTCACTAATTCTGGTGATGGTACCTTAGCTCGCTTTAACTGAGTTAAAAAGTAAAGGCGCTTAGCGGCCTTTTTAATCATCTCAGTAACGTGAGTGTTCCACTTGAGGTTGTCTTGAAAATACACACCCAGTAATTTCACGACACTAACGGCGCTAACCTTAGAGCCATTAATTTCTATGAGATCGTAGGAAGGAGGGGAGCGCACGAAGGAAACTCTTAGCTCATTACATTTTTTCGGATGAAGTTGAAACGAGTTAAGTGTTGACCAGGTAGCTACTTCGTTTATCATAGACTGAGCATTGCTAGGACCACCCTTGCTTATGATTTCATACACTGTCGTGTCATCTACATATTTTATACAATCACTGGCTGATGGTACTTTCAAATCATTTATCATAACCAAGAATAGCCACGGTCCCAATTTTGTTCCCTGCGGTACTCCTGCTCGGACCGATCCCCACTCTGAGAGACAATCATGTGCAAGTTTGACCCTTTGTTTCCTATCTTTAAGAAAGGCTATTATCCAATTAATGATGTAAGGGTTGATATTGTAGGTCGAGAGTTTCGATAGCAAGAGGCTGTGATCTATCAGATCGAAGGCTTTTCTATAGTCCAACGCAAAGATCCGCACGGTGTTCCCCGTTCCGTCTGTTGCTTGCGCCCAATTGTGCATCAGGTTTATCAATGCATGCGCAGTGGAGGATCCTGGAATACACCCAAATTGATCGGGTTCCAGGCGTTTCAGAAGTGCTGGTTTCACATGTTCATGGACGACGTAGTGCTCGGCAATTTTGGACAACGTTGGTGTCAGTGAAATAGGTCTCAAATCTTTCGCCGCATCCTCAACTATCTTTGTTTTGGGAAGAGGGGTGATGTTTGCACATTTCCAAATGTCCGGTAAAGTCCCTTGACTAATCGAGGAATTGATGATACAACGAAGAGGTTGAGCGAGCTCAGGAGCGAAGTCACGCAAGACCCAGTTTGGGATATTATCTGGGCCCCCAGCTTTGGAGGAGCTGACCGTACTAAGGCATTTGAAGGTAGCTTCCAGTGAAATAATGGGAGTTTTAAAACCCTCAGTGCTCACAGTTTCGATATTATCTAAAAGTGGGTCAAACGAAGCTTGAGGTTCTAGCAGAGCTGTGTTGATTTCATTAGCCAAGATCTTAAGGTTGATTGAGGTAGCTGGTTTACTTGCTAGGAGCTGATTTGCGACACTTGTAGATGTTTTGTTCATTCCACATAACCGCCTACATTCGGACCACCACATTTTAGGATTGTTTTCGGTCAAAACGCTGACTTTAGTGTTGTAATAAGAGCGTTTGCAGAGCTTCCGTTCCCTGTTTACTTTGTTCCGGTAGTAGTGGAACAATGGTTTGTTGTCTTGGTAATATGCTCTTTGACGGTGTGCTATAAGTGCCTTGAGTTTGGGTGAAATCCATGGTGCGTCGTTTCGGTGGAACTTAACTCGCTTTTTGGGAAGGATAGAATCTAACCCTATGTGAATTAGGTCACTGAAGTGAGCATACTGTTCTTGGACGCTATCTATAGTGTCGATTAATGACCAGTCGACCCCCGTCATATAACGACCAAAAGCCTGTTTGGACTCAGCGTTAACAGCACGTGTAGTAACCGTTCTGTTTGCAGGAATATTGGCCTTCGATCTAATTTTTGGAAACAAACCAACAGTACAATGATCGGATAGTCCGAAGGGCGGGAATGGAGAAGGTTTCTCGTAGTGTTCTGTAAGATTAGTTAGCACTTTGTCGAGTGTACGATCCCCTCTTGTTGGAAAATGGACGACTTGCGTGAGGCGGAACTGCTTAATAACTGGTGAAACATTTGCCCTGTTCCAGTCGCCAGCGAGAATTATACCTGCGCCAGGGATATCACTCTCTATCCTAGAGAGAGAATCCATCATGTAATCAAGGAGGGGCTCATCTTTGGCAGGCGGTGGAGGATGGTATACTATACCAATGATAAGGCAGCTATAACCCCGGGGCAATCGGTTGGGCGTGATTTTGGCCCACAAAACCTCAGGGCCCTCGGGGTCAGGAAACTCATAGTCCCATAGAATTGAGAATTTGATGGAATCTTTTACATATAGAGCCACACCCCCATGTAGCTTGTGGGTCCTATCTTTGCGTATGATGTTGTAGCCACTAATGTCAACTACGCTGTCATCAATAGAATCTTTCAGCCATGTCTCCGTTATACAACAAAGATCAAACTCGTGGGTGTTCAAAAAAATACGAAGTTCGTCTATTTTTGGTGCCAAACTCATTACATTAGACACAGCTATTGACGGTACGAACTGCAAGGTGTTTTTCCTGGCGTCGATGTTTCTCTTAGGCTTGATAATAGCCAGATTATTGAAATTGACGGCTCTTTCTTCTGTGTAATGGCTGGAGGAAACACGCGTAGTTACTCTCACGGGAATTGTTGAAAGTCTCGGTAAAGCGTGATTATTGAACCGTAAAGATTCATTCAAGATGGAAGAGTTATAGCAATTAACAGTTCTTGGTACAACAACAAGGCGTGTACACCATCTTTAAATCTAACACAACTACACGAAGGGTTAAAGGGTTAAAGAAGCCATCCACGTGAGACTTTATCCTTAAAACGTCAATAGAGATGACGAAATTGAAATTCCTGAACCGTGGATACCTGAAAAACCTTAGCAGCTGATTAGTAACGGAGCGGACTTATGAGGGAACAACATATTTCTATAAGTAATAATAAGGATCGAAATGCTGGCTATAACACCAATAACAACAAACCAAAGTGCTATAAGTAGGGACACATAAACTTTCGACCTCGTCGCTTGACGAAGACTGGCAGTATAGCAGTACAAACGTCGCGATCAATGCACAATTGATTAGCGTGAGTCTTACAACCCGAGACACGACAGTTATTTAAAAAAAAGAACGATTTTGCACATCCACCTATCCCTTTAACATTTTGGTAAACAGAAACCTGTATTAAGTGTGCACCTTTGTGAGGCCGTGTATCAAAGGTTGTGATAAATTGCGAGGTAACTACAAGCCTTACTTCTGTTTTCTAGTATGAAAATCTTTCATTATCTTCAGCCACTTAATGAAATTAATTACATGGAGCGTCTCTCTCGTTTCCATGGTGAATTGTTGGAAAGAAAGATGATTACAATTATGGCTGGAAACAAGTTAGCCGTGCGTTTCGCTTGTTTTCCAACTGACATGCTTTACTATCGCAAAGTGTCCGTTTAACAGAGGTGTGGGTCACAAAATAGCCCACAGGGTCCAAGCCTATTTGGTGGAGGTGTCGTTGAATTCCGTGTTCACCATTCAAAAAGAGCGACTAAATTATTA